GGCCACAAAGGGTGAGTACCCTCTGCCCTACCTTCTCCAAGACTCTAGCAACCAGAATAGATCCAGTTTGTTCTGTAAATTGGATCTCAATAGGTCCAGTTTGTTCTGTAAATTGGATCTCACTAGAATGTCACTGCAAACCAGTTCCCAACCACTGTTGTTCAATCTGGGCTCACCACCCATCTGATTCTCTGATCAAAAAAGAATGATCACTTGCTCCAGCAGTGGTTCACAAACTTAACTAAGTGGAGTTCACTGTTTTAGGAACCTGATACGCACACGGACACCTCCACCGACTCCTAGTTGCTGAGACCCAGCAAGCAGGCACCCTCCTCAGAAAGCAAGAGTACACTGATGGGAGACAGTAAGGCAGGGAGGGCACTGGCATTGCGCAGGGCTTACAGGGTTCGATCCTGGCATCCCCCAAGCACTGCCTGCAGCAATCCCTGAGTGCAGAACTGAGTGTGAAACACCCCCCCCCCAAAGGAAAAAAAAAAGAGAGATGCAGGCAGCCCCGACACTGGCCACAAGAGCAGCACTTCCTCCCAACTATATTGGCAGGGATGAGGGGAAGGGGGATGGTGGATGGGGGACTGCAGAGAGACAACTCAAAGAGGCTAAGCATGTGCCTTGCATGCTTGGGTTCCATCCTCACCAGATTTGGCCCAAAAAATAAATAAAAACCTTAGAGTACAGTGGCTAAAGAACTTTCCTTGCATGTGGACAACCTAGGTTTGATCCCCAGCACCCCACAGGGCACCACCACATCCCCTGAGCACCGTCGAGAATGATCCCTGAGCACTGAGCCAGGAATAAGCCTTGAGCACTGTCAGGCATGGCCCAAAACACTAAATAAAAACAATAAAAAGCCACCAACCACATTGGAGAGAGGGGGAAAAGGCCCGGTTCAAGGAACAGGGGCAGCCGTCTCTGCCACCCTGAGCACCCACTCCCAAGTGCTGCCGAGAGTACCCAAGGCCGTGTGGTAGCCAGGACCTAGCACAAGTCTGCACAGTGGCCACAAAGGTGGCACAGACCTCAGCTCTCACAACTTCACGACAGACCAACTAGCCAGACCTCAGTCTCACCTCCTCAGAGGCCCTTAGGACTTCACTGGGATGGGGAAAGTTTTCCATGCCCCTCCATGCACATCCCAGTAGAAGCGCCAAGCCCCTCACGAGCAATAAACCAACAGGAAGGAGCTGCCCTAACCCAAAGCCACACTCACCCTTCCCTCTACCCACCTGGGGCACTGCTGGAAAACTCAACCGTCAGGAGGGCAGGATTGGCTTGTCCCAGCCAAGTCCAGGGATCCAGCTCCCCACTCAGCTCCGCCAAGGGCACCCAGGCTGCACTCCCTCCCTCTGCAGACCCACACCCCACCCCGGCCAGCCGGCCTTTCCCTCCTAAAGCAAGCGGGGCAGGGCTCCCCTGAGCCTGGCTTTCCTCTCTTTATGGAGCCCACCGGGCCCCTACCCCCACCCGCTTTTCCTGCTTTGCCACTCTGGGGGAAGACGGGCTCCAGAAGAGCCTGCAGCCCTCTCGGCGCCCTCCCCCCCCCAGGTCCCTAACCCTTAGGGCAAGGCCCCTCCCAGCAGCAGGAAGCTCAGCATGGCGGTGCCAGGCAGAGTGGAACTGGCCTAGCTAGTTCAGAAGCCCCTAACCAGAAGCCAGGACTGACTTGGGGAGGGGAGCGCTCTGCCCCACCCCATCCCTCCCTGCTGGGATTTCAGACCTCTCCCCACCCGGCTCTCACAGGCTCTGGAGTCAAAGGCATTTACCCTCCAGCCCCAGACTGGTCAGTGGCTTGCTTTCAGCTCCAAAAAGGTATTTAACCTGAGTCTTGTTTACCAGTCTGTAAGAGAGGCTATCTGCTGTGGAACTGGAAAACTGCAACATGCCTCTCTCCCCAGCCTCCAGACTGATCTTAGTCAGTCTGAGTACCAGAGGGCAGAGAAACCCACCAATTTGAACTAGCCACAAGGGTTGAGCACTACCTCTGTTCTAGAAAACTTTGCTGAGTGAGTGAAAGCTTGTCAAAGAGCATCACAGATGCCCGGCATGCAGTAGGTTCATGATACCAGCTTCTTATCAAAGGCAGCATTTGGCAGGGTGACATTCCACAATGCCACGAAAACTAAACAAAGGTTAACTATCAAAACCCCTCTTGGCCAGCCAACCTGCACGCAGCATGGCACCCAGGGCTCTCCCGCAGGCCAGCCGCCCTCCCCATGATGCCCACTACACACCTTTCTCCACAGTGCCAGTCCTTATCACCCACGTCTTACATCCATTAGTTTGTTCGGTTCCCTTCCCCAGGCTGAATTCTGGAGGGGAGTGATACGTGAACGTAAACTCAAGTCCTGTTCCCATTTTAGCAACGGGCACTACGGCTCGATCACTGTCCAAGGTCACATGGAGAGTAAACAGGGGACCCAGTGTCACACTCCAGAATTCCTCACCCAGTCTGGTTCCCTGCTCCCTGCCCTCCACCAGCCCCTCCTCAAGCACTACCCAAAGAACCAGGAGGGGAAGAACCTGATTTGCTCTTTCTTTGAAAAGCTGAAAGTTGCCGAAGGCAGCTGGAGCAGGCAGGAAATAGAGCCCTCTTAGAGGAAGGTTCCCAAGGACAGTGGCCCTCAGCCCCAGTGGGTAAGGCAAGCTGTGGGGTGGGGCTAAGTGCTTGAGGCCAACACGCCAAGCAAAAGGACAGAGCCACAGATCCCCTGGGCAAACTGAACTTTATTCCTTCCTAGCTACTCCAATTCTTCAGAACTACTCGGCCAGCCCTTCCCGGGGGCTAGCTGCAGATTAAAAGGCACACACGCCCCCACCCCCAAAATGGACCCTGGCAGACAATGAGGACTCCAGGAAGACAGCAGGCCTGTCAGCTCAATAATGCAAAACCCTGCTGCCCAGAGTCCACGACAGCTGACTTCAAGTGGATCAGAGACTCTGCTTATTAGCAAAATGAGAAATCTGATCTATGGAAAGAAAACACTGTGTGGGGATTCGTCTAGGACCGGACCCTGTGGAGAAGGCTGGGCTGCAGGCCAAGGCCAGGGAGTGAGGAAGGGATGGTGCCTACCTGTCCCCTGAGCAGGCACCACAGCCTCACCTCTGCCACACCTGCACCTCCTCTCCCTCCAACAATTACAGCAATCATTTCGGTTTTGCTTTAATTAAAGGCCTGGCTCCCTCGGGCTGTTTCTTCCTCTACACGGAGCCAGCAACCAGTGGGAGATTTTTCTTTTCAGGAATCGCTTGTAAAAGCTAAATGACTAATCTACAAGTCTCAACAACTGGCAGGAAAACACTGCAGGGAGAAACTCTGGGCGCACACCAGCATTTGAGTCAGAGTGCCAGAGGAACTGGGTAGCAGGCGTCCACCGGCACCCCAAACCTGGCCTTCACTCAGAAAGGGAGGCGTCAAAAGAAAGCAGACCAACGTGGGAGCTCTACCCCACACGGTCCCCCAAAAGCTAGGCAAGTGGAGTGGCCCTTCCAACCTCAGCGTTGCGTCCCGAGGTGTCTATGCTTCCTTCAGTTCTTGAACCCCCGGTTTTCATCCTTCAGTTCAGCTGCAGAAGACCGCAAGTCCCTTGCAGGCAGGCCTCTGTGCTCCTGGGCCCCAAGCTTCAGTTCGGCCCCCAAGTATCAGCCTCTCTCCTCCTTACCACCCCCACCCCCTTGGTGCTAAGAGCCCGCTAAAGCTGCAATCTCGCCACACAGCTTTGTCTCCCGAGGCCAGCCCCAGGCCAGCCCATCTGCTTTTTTTCAGACCACTCCAGCAGCCCTGCCCCGCTGAGCAAACGCGCTCTCCGGGAGCCGGGCTACACACCAGCCACATGGCCAGAGCTCCGGAGAAGGTCTGCTCAAAGGCCCGGAGTGCAGGCCCTGGCAGATGGGAGCGGCGGGGGAAGAGGTCAAGTCGGAGCCAGGCCCGCTCCAGAAAGGCCCCGGGACCCAGTGGGCGACCCAACGTCCATCCCGCCAGCTGGGGGGGGTCGCGGGCGAAGAGTCCCAAGTTCAGCGGCGGCCGCGGCCCCTCCCCGTACCTGCCAACTCGTCCCCCTCCCCCGGGGCGGCCGGGCGGGCGCAGGAGCTCCGCGATCCCCACATCAGTCAACGACCAGCCCACCGCCACCGCCGCGGGATTCCTCGGGGCCAGGCCCTGCCCCTCCCCCCGCCGCAGATGTCAGAGGGGGCGGCCTCCCCGGCTCCCACCCCTGCGGCTGGGGGCGGGGGGCGCCGCGCGCCCAGCTTTCCAGATGCGCTCGGGAGCTCGGGCGGGGGGCTCCGAGGGCGCGTCCCGACCCATCCGGACCCGGGCGGACCCACGCGGCTCAGGGCGGGGCCGCCAGCAGCATTATCTGGCCTCCTCCCTCCGCTCCGCAAGTCGCTGCCCCCCCACCCCGGAGCGGCATGCCCACCCCCGGCCCGGCGGAGCCCGAGCGATCGCAAGCCCCCGGCCGACAGGCAGCAAGTGACAAGCCGCGGCCGAAGGGCCCCCTCCGCGGCCGGCGACCCCCTCCCCCAAGCCCATCTCTCTTCCTGCCAAGCGGCTGCCGACGACAAGCGGTCGGGGGGCAGGGCAGGAGCCCACCAGCTGCAGGGCCGGCCCGGGCCGGGCCTCCCGCGGGGCGGGGGCCCCGGGGAAGGGGGCCCGGGACGGCGCGGGGCGCGGCGGGCGCATAAAGGGGGCCCGCCCGCCTGTCAGGCTGCGCCGCTCCCCGACGCGCTCGGGATTAGGGCGCTCCTGAAAAGGCACAAAGAGCGGCGCCCGCCCGCCCCCCCGGCCCGCGCCCCGCCGCTTTGTGCCCGCGCCCCCGCCGGGCACCGGGGCCACAAAGCCCCGCCGGCCGCGTCGGCCGGGGGCCCCGCGCGCGCCCCCCGCCCGGGCCCGGCGGACGCGCGGCGCAGCCCACACGTCGGCGGGGGCGCGCGCCCGCCCACGCCCCTCTCCGGGGGCGCGCCCGCCCCCCACGGCCGCCCCTCACCTCGTGTGCATCGGCGGCGGCGCTCCGCCTGCCGCCCGGCCCCGGCCGCGGCCGCTCGTCCTCGGCGCCCGGCCCGCGACGCCCTCGAGCCCGCCCCGTCCGCCCCGCCGCCGCCGCCGGCCCGGCTCGGCTCGGCTCCCCGCCCAGCGCGCCCGAGCGCCGCTCACAGCCGCCCGCCCGGCGCCATCTTGGAAGCTTGTGACGTCGGCGCCGCCCGCTCACCCCTGACCCACATCTGAATGGACGAGCGGAGGGGCGGGGCCTGGGGGCGGGTCCGGGGCGGGGCTTGAGGGGGCGGGGCCGAGCCGGCGAGCGGTCCGGGCTCGGGGCGGGGTGGGCGGCCTCCGGACGGAGTCGTGGGGGAGGGGCGCGCAGGAGTCGCCGGGGACCCTCCCTCCCTCCGGGGCGCCGGCTACCTCCTGTTTCGTGGCGCAGGGGCGGGGTCGCCGCCCCGGTACCCCCAAACGCCCCGATCGCCCGCCCCCGGGAAGGGCACTCTGGCGCCATACGCGCAGCCCCCCCCCCCGCCGCTGACCCCCTTGAGCCTGACCCTGAACCCTCGAAGACCCCATCCAGGACCCGCACTCTGGGACCCCTCGTTGCTTGTGCACCGCCTTCAAGAGCCTTCGCACCTTTGCTCCGGGTCACCCCCAGGGTCAAAGCATACCCCGGGGTGCGCAGTCCCGGGGCTTGCGGTGCGTGCGGGGGTGTTCTGGGCAGTTTGGGTTCGGAGTAGAAGGAAGCCCCTACCCGTGAACCCAGAGGCCCTTTAGCCCCTGCTCCCAGCGCCCCGTGGGCTGGTCCTACCTGCTCGCAAGACGAGGAGGTCGCGGGCACGCCTTGTCCGCCAACCCCTTCCGGTGACCGCCGCCCCTCCGGGCCCCTAAGGTCGAGCCACGCGCCTAGGCTACCCGCGCCGACCCAGTCTCTGAAGCCCTCCGAGGGCTGCAGCTGACCGTGGCCACTTCCCTAGGGAGTGACTTAATGGACCTCTCTCTACTTTATTCGCCGAACAAAGGAGCACACCGCTGTGATAGCCTGAGCGAAACCCAGATTGGCTTTGTAGGGAAGTTGAGCCCTAGCCAAGACGGAAAGCGAACTCAGTAAGCCTTCGGGGAGGGCAGATGATGTGACTGTCCCTTCTAAATTAGTAAATTTGACATTAGTCCTCACAGGACCTTTCTTGAATTTCACGAAATTCACGGGGAAGAGTACATAGCCCAAAGCACTACTCATTCCCCCTTGAGACAACAAAAACGAATGAGAAAACGTAGCACATGCAGAGCATGTAGGAAGGACACTCTGGGTTCTACCCCAGCACCAAAAACAAAATATAAATCAATACAAATAGAGAACGATGCTGGGGGGAGCAGGAGACAGCTCAAAGAACTGGTGCGTATTTACATGTGACAGCCCAGTTTGGATTTCCACCAAGACACCACATGGTCCCCTAAGCACTGCTGATGTGTCCCCTCCACTTCCTCCCCAAAACAGTTAAAGATATTAAAACAAGTGTTGGAGAGATAGTACAGTGGGTAAGGTGCTTGCCTTGCATGTGGACCGACCCAGTTGGATCCCCAGCATCCCGTATGATCCCCTGAATACTGCCAGGAATAATTCCTGAGTGCTGAGCCAGGAGTAACCCCTGAGCATCACTTGGTATAGACCAAAACCACAAAATAAACAATAAATATTATTAAAGATTTTAAAACAAATTATGAAATTACCGCGGGGCTGGAGAGGTGGAGAGAGAGGCAGAGTGAGGAAAGTGAAAATAAAGGGAAGAAGAGAAGTAACATTCTATGAACAGAGCTCAGTAGGGGAGTCTAGTTCAATAAACTACTAGAAAAAAAAAAGAACTAACCAAAGATAAGCAAATGAAAGCTATAAGATAGGTGATGGATTTGGTTTTGGTCAGTTTTGTTTTGTTTTCCCCTAAACTGGAACTCAGTTCCAAATGATAACTTTCAGAGTCTAGAGAGCCAGTACAGCTGGTAGGCTCTTGCCTTGCATGCTAGTATCTGGAAGCCTATATGGTCCCCTGAGCCCTCCAGAAGTGATTATAGAGCCAGGAGTAAACCCTAAACACTGTCAGGTGTGCCCCCCCCCTCCAAAAAATAACTTTAAATGATAACTTTCAAATACAGTCAGAGGTCTGGTGGGTACTCACTTGTTGGAAACATAAGAAATTGCTGTATAATTTTCCTTTCCTTTTTAATGATAATGAGGGTTTTATGGGGGGAGGGTCAAACCCTGCTATACTGGGGTGGTACTCCTGACTCTCTGTTCAGAGTCACTGTCTGTAGTGTCGTGAGAAACGTGTGGTGGTGGGGATCAAATATAGGCAAGACACATTTTGTATATACTCAGTCCATTGAGCTATGTCTCTGGCCTGTCTCAAAGCTTCCAAATATGAATCTGACAATATGAGCCCAAACTAAAAATCTCTGGTTTGGGTTTTGTTTTTGGACCACATCTGGTAATGTTCAATTTACTCCTGATTCTGCACTCAGGAATCACTCCTGGCGGTACTTGGGGGACCCTATGGGATGCTGGGAATTGAACCCAGGTCGTCCGCGTGCAAGGCAAACACCCTACCTGCTGTGCTACTGCTCCAGTCCCTAAAAGTCTTTTAAAACAATCATATTCTGGATGTTTGGGATAAAGAGATCTCTCAACAAGCTGAGTGCATGCCTATATGCAATTTCTGTCCCCCGAGTAGCTCTTGAGTATTACTGAGTATTATCAGGAATGATACCAAGCCCAGAGTACCATCAGGTTTGTTCCAACCCTCCCCTCTAAAATACAGAAAACAAACCCATAAAAATAATCAGACAAGACTGAGAATATGGTTAAGCACAGGTCACATGATTCACATGTATGAGGTTAGTGTTAAACCCCCACATCACAATGGAAAAGTAAAACAAGCAAACCATTTTTTTTTTTTTGCTTTTTGAATCATATCTAGTGATGTTCCAGGGTTACTCCTGGCTCTGCACTCAGAAATTATTCCTGGCGGCGCTCAGGGACCATAGACAATGCTGAGGATCGAACCTTGGTCAGCCTTGTGCAAGACAAATGCACTACCAGCTGTACTATTGCTCCAGCCCAATCATATACCTTCTTACTCTAGTCATTCCTCTGTTAAGTTAGAGCCAGAGAAATAATACAGACATTAAGGTACTTGCCTTGCATATGACCAACCTTGGTTCAATCCTCAGCATCAGAGTCACCCTGAACACCACCTAAAACTCAAATATATAAAGTATATTATATAATTATATTTTATTATATATTATGAATATGTTTCATATATGTGTGTATTAAATACTGTATCATAAAATCACATAATATAGTTAAATGTATTTAATAATGCCTCCAGTTTCCACCCAAGCCTTTCCCTGCCGGGCATTCTATAAAGTCCTGGGGCCAGAGAAATAGTACAGCAGGTAAGACTCTTGCCTTACATGTGGCTGACCCAGGTTCGATCCCCAGAATCCCATGGAGTGCCCCCAAGCACCACCAGGAGTGATTTCTGAGGGCAGAGCCTGGAGCAACACCTGAGCATTGTCGGGTATAGCAAAAGTTTTTTTAAAAAATCCAAGTACAGTTTCTCCTGCTCCAGTGTCATATGACATAAGCACCTCAATCTAGAAATTGGGGGGCAGTTACAGAATAGTAAAGAAACAGCATATTTCAAAGTGCTATTTTCCCTGACAGCAGCCCAATAAACCTTGGGTGGTTGGTAATCTGAAAATATACAGTGGGGACATTAAGAGAGAGAGAGAGAGAGAGAGAGAGAGAGAGAGAAAGAGACAGACAGACAGACAGACAGAGACAGAGAGAGACAGAGAGAGAATTGGGTTCCTACTGCATCCCAACTCTATCCAGGTTCTGTGTCTACGTAATATTGAGACAGAGCCTCTCTGATTCCCTTCCTAGTCACTTGGAAGCCATCATGGCCCCTCCCCAGGGGGCTCATAGGAGGGCTAAATGAGATAAGATTGGGCTGGTACAGAACCAGGATCTGGCAAGTCCTGGGAATTTTATGGTTGCTATATCCTCTAGGCTGGGTCAGGTGAAGATGATAGAACTGATTTGTTACCTTTTTTCCAGCATCTCTTTTCAACAACAACAACAAAAACAAAACTAGAAAAACCAAAAAAGGGGTAATTTTTAAAAAAATCTCAAAAGGGCTAATCATGGTTTCCTAACATTATATTCAGGATTCCCCACCACCACCACTTCATTTAAACACAGTGGTTTACAATGTAGTTCATGATAATTGGTTGCAGGCATTCAATATTCCAACACCAATCCCATCACCACCATCACCTTCCCTCCACCATCATCTCCATTTTCCTAAGACGTTACTTTTTTGTTTTGGTTTGATTTGATTTGAGGCCATAGGCAGAGTCTCAAGGGCTACTCCTAGGCTGGAGCCAGAAGTTGCTGCTCCCACTGGTGCTGGGGAACCACAGGATGCCAGGGATAAAACCCTAACCTCCAGCATCAAAGCATGAGAACCAGCCCTTTGCGCCATCTCCCTAGCCCAAGACAGTCAGACTAATTTTTATTAGTGAAACACCATGAGGTACAGTTTCTTTCTTTCTTTTTTCTTTCTTTCTTTCTCTCTTTTCTTTTCTTTCGGGGGGCATACCCGGAGATGCCAAGGGGTAACACCTGGCTCTCTACTCAGGAATTACTCTGCTGGTTCTGGTAGATCATATGGGATGCTGGGAATCAAACCCAGGTCAGCCACGTGCAAGATAAGCGCCCTGCTCGCAGTACCATCACTACAAACCCCTCCTTGTATTTTTCAAGAGCTATTTTTGTAAATAGATGATATATTTCTGCATTGAAAACAAAGACACATTGGGGCTGGAGCAATAGCACAGCGGGTAGGGCATTTGCCTTGAAGGAGGCTGACCCGGGTTCAATTCCCAGCATCCCATATGGTCCCCTGAGCACCATCAGGAGTGATTCCTGAGTGAAAAGCCAGGAGTAACCCCTGAGCATCGCCAGGTGTGACCCAAAAAGAAAAAAATTATCTAAACAATGAAAACAAAGACACATATACACACACACACACACACAC